GCATAAGCCATACATCCCGATAAGTCTTCAACCAAGACCCATCACATACTCGTCTCCAAGTATAACAACTCATAATGCTCCACCTGCATCACAAGCCCCGGGCAAGCTCCACCTTAATGCCAACACACCTACACCAGGAGCTCCCCAACTTCGCCCCTCAGGGCCTACTACATCACGTAGTAATCAATATTTAGCAAATCTAAGCAATGTTTAAACTTGCTAAACGGAACAGGCTTAGTGAAGAAATCAGCCGGGTTGTCAGCAGTCCCAATCTTCTTCACCTTAATCCTCTTGTCAGTACGCAAGAAATGATACCTGACATCAATGTGCTTCGTCCGATCATGGTGTACTTGATCTTTAGCTAAGCAAATCGCACTTAGACTATCACAATACACTGTAGCAAAATCCTGTGCAATACCCAGTTCACCTACTAGGCCTTTGAGCCAAATAGACTCCTTAGCTGCAGAAGTTAAAGCCATATACTCAGCTTCAGTAGTTGACAACGTAACTGATGACTGCAATGTAGACTTCCAACTAACCACAACCACCCAAAGTGAACACATAACCAGTCACAGACCTCCTGGTATCCACATCAGCTGCATAATCAGAATCACTGTACCCAGTGACCAAGCATTCCCTACCATTCCCGTACACAAGACCAATATCAGTTGTCCCTCTCAGGTAGCGAAAAATCCTTTTCACCCCTTGCCAGTGTTCCCTCCCAGGTCGAGCCATAAACCTGCTTACAACACTAACAGCATGCGCAATATCCGGCCTAGTACAGACCAGCATACATCAAACAACCAACCGCGTTTGCATATGGAACTCTAGACATATAAGACAACTCCTCCTCTGATTGAGGTGACATAGACAAAAGACAACTTACAACTAACAGTAGTTGGCGTACTTATAGGCTTCGATTTTTCCATCCCAAAACGAGACAAAATCTTTTCAATGTAGCTTTTCTGAGTCAAGAAAAGCTTACCTCTAGCCCGATCCCTGTAGATCTCCATACCCAAAATCTTCCTAGCTGCACCCAAGTCTTTCATGTCAAACTCCGAGTTAAGCATCTCCTTTAATCTAGCAATATCAGATTTATTCTTTGTGGCAACCAACATGTCATCAACATATAACAAAAGATAAATCATGAACCATTATCCAGCTTACTATGATACACACAGCAATCATATGAATTCCTGTCAAAACCTTGTGAAACCATAAAAGAATCAAACCTTTTGTACCACTGTCGGGGGGATTGCTTAAGTCCATACAATGACTTTAGCAATCTGCAGGCATAGTGTTCCTTTCCAGGAACTTCGAATCCTTCGGGCTGCTTCATCAGAATCTCCTCCTCCAAATCGCCATGAAGGAAAGCCGTTTTAACATCCAACTGCTCCAGCTCAAGATCAAAATGTGCTACAATTGACAATAACACACGGATAGAAGTATGTCGAACCACAGGTGAGAATATCTCAACAAAATCAACCCCTTCTACCTGACTGAACCCCTTAGCAACTAGCCTAGCCTTAAAACGTATTTGCTCAGTTTCCGACAACCCTTCTTTCTTCTTGTAAATCCATTTACAACCCACAAGCTTCCTCCCTTCCGGTACCTTTACCAGTTCCCACACTCTGTTCTTGTAAAGAGACTGCATCTCTTCACCCATTGCGGCAAGCCATTGCGCAGACTCACTACAACTAATTGCTTGTTTATATGTGGCAGGTTCAAATGACTCTACATCATCAGCTACACTCAATGCATAACCTGTCATCGCATCAACACAACAATTTCTTCCCTCCATCTCTTCAATCAATCTAACAGGCTTCTTGATAACTCGTTTAGGCATCTCAAGAATGGTGTCAGGTTGACTAGATGACCCTGATTAGATTGCTCCACCTCATCCCCAGAGTTAGAATGAGTAGGAGTAATCTCAGGTTCAGGAGTACCCGGCACTGGAACATCAGCATCATCATCAATATATTGTACCCGAGGTAAATCAGCAATGGTAGACTGATGTACCTCAAGTACCCCATTGTCTGTAATAAATTGTCTCCTTCCCTTCTCAAATCTGAAATCTCTGCATTTTTAATTGAATACATGGTGTTTTCATCGAAAGTAACATCCCTACTAAGAATGACCCGACCCTCCGAAGGTGAAAAAATTCTAAACCCCTTCACACCATCCCCGTACCAACAAAAACACCCCTTCTTGGCTCGTGGATCCAGCTTACCCTCAATAACATGATAATAAGCAACACAACCAAAAATCTTCAAATTCGAAAAATTAGGCAACTTACCACTCCAGATCTCAAACGGAATTTTGGAATCAATTCCAGAATGAGGACCCCTATTAATGACATAACAAGCTGTTAACACAGCTTCACTCCAGTACCTCCTCCCAAGCCCTGCATTAGAGAGCATGCATCGACTCTCTCTAGCAGTGTCTGATTAACCCGTTCTGCTACACCGTTCTGCTGTGGTGTCTTCCTGACAGTATGATGCCGACCTATACCCTCATCTGCACAGAACTGATTAAACTCGTCTTTGCAAAACTCTAGCCCATTGTCCGTTCGTAGCTTCTTGATCTTCCTTCCTTGTCGATTTTCCACCAAAGCTTTCCATTGCTTGAAAACTTTGAAGGCCTCATCCTTTGACTTAAGCAACCTAAGCCATGTATCGGGACTTGTCATCAACAAATGACACAAAATAGTGGTAACCTCCCATACCTTCAACTCTAGATGGACCCCAGCAATCTGAATGGATGTAATCGAGCACTGCATCAGTAATGTGAGCACCCTTGCTGAACTTTGACCTGTGTTTCTTACCAAACACAATGCTCACAAAATTCAAGGTTGGCAACCTTGACCCCGGATAGAAGACCCCTCTTGGACAATAGCTGCATCCCCTTCTCCCCCATATGACCAAGCCTCATGTGCCAAATCTTAGTCATCTCCTGGTGAGATACAGATGCGCAAACCGCAGAACTAGGCAGTGTAACACCCTCAAAAACATAGAGGGTGTTCCTTTTGATACCCTTAAGTACCAACTCAGAACCTCTGAAAATACACAACTCCCCATCTGAAAACACACCATTGTACCCCAATTCATCCAGGGTACCCAATGAAATCAGATTCTTTCCTAAAGCAGGAACATGCCGTACATTAGTCAAAGTTAACCTCCGCCCATCAACAGTCCTCAACCTCATGGAACCAATACCTGTGACCTTACATGGAGCATTGTTACCGACTATAACCATACCCCCATTGCGAGGTTCATATGTATCAAACCAATCTCGACGTGGACACATATGGAACGAACACCCCGAATCTAGAACCCAGTTATCAGATAAATCATCAGACCTAGCAGAACTGACTAATGCTAAATCTTCCTCTGAATTATAGCTCTCATTCGGTTTCTCTTCAACTACAGCAGCCTGGGACTTGTTTTTCCTCACCGGACAATTATTCCTAAAGTGACCCGGTTCTTTACAGTAATAACATGTTTTAGTAGTAGTTTTACTAGATCCATCCTTGCCGTTTCCAGCACCCGACCCAGCATTGTTCCCCTTGTTAAACCCCTTATTCTTTTTAGACTTTCCGGACTTAACAAATAACCCACTACCATTATCCCCATTATCACTCGTAGCTTTCATTCTGAGTTCCCTAGTATGAAGTGCTGCCTTCACTTCTTCTAAGGTTATAGAATCCTTACCAACAACAAAAGACTCTACAAAATTCTCAAAGCTAGACGGTAGAGATACAAGTAAAATCAACGCAGCATCCTCATCATCAATTTTAACATCTAAATTACGTAAATCAAGCAAAATAGAGTTAAGTTTTTCTAGATGTTCCCGTAAGGAAGTACCTGACTGCATCCGGAGGCTAAACAACCGCTGTTTCAGTAATAATTTGTTGGTCAACGACTTAGTCATATACAATGACTCCAGCTTCAGCCACAATCCAGCCGCCGTTTCCTGATCAGCAACCTCCGTGATGATTTGATCATCAAGACTAAGTAATATGGTAGAGTGTGCCTTCTCTTCCATAACTTCTAACTGCGAGTCAGTCGGTCCGTCTCCTGACTCCGAAGTAGTACTCTTTGGAGCCAACGGACGCCATATCTGCTGTTGTTTTAACAGAGCCTTCATCTTAATTTGCCATAGCCCGAAACTATTTTTCCCGGTAAACTTCTCAATTCTTATTGTTGAATCTCCTGCCATTGTTATCTTCAAGAAACTCTCCAAGGATTGAACCTGAGCTCTTGATACCAATTGTTGTGCGACAGCGGAAGCAAAGGTCGTAAACAAACAAGAAAACAATAAAGAAATTCAATGCAAACAATAAGAACAACACCAAGAATTTACGTGGTTCACTATCGATGTGATAGCTACGTCCACGGGCACCGAGATCGAATGATTTCACTATAAACTGCAAAGATTACAAAGATGATTCTTGTATTTCTCAAGAACGGCTCTCACTCTGTCTCTCTTCACCCTAATACTGATATTAGGGAGGTTTTATATTAATCCCTAATTAAAAGATACTTGGGCAAAAAGATAATAAAATAAGATAACCTAAAACCGCAAAATCCGCGTTCCGTATTTTTCCTTCTCCGCCCGGTCAGACCGGGCAAGGTCTGCCCGATCGGCGCGAGAAGAAAACTCCATACGAATGCTTCAACGTATCCAAACCCCACCGCCCGGTCAGACCGGGCAAGGTCTGCCCGATCGGGCGAAGGCTCGCCCGGTCGGGCGAAGGCTCGCCCGTCGGGCGCGAGAGCAGCTTCTTCAACGAATTTGCCAGGCACCTCTTCTTCTTCCGCCCGGTCAGACCGGGCAATGTCCGCCCGATCGGGCGGACAAAGCTACGAAGTACGAGTCACCTAATATACTTATCAACACATTTTCATTTGTTGAGTCTTGTAGATGACTATGCTCGTACTCTCTCACTTTGCGTTGCTCGATTAAGGATTTTTGGGCTTGTTGTTGACACATTGTAACAGTTTGTTGAGGTGTTGTCAAATGTGAAGAGTGATCCTGCTGTATGTTGTTGGTCAATGATTGATGAAACTACTTTTGAATGCTTGTACTCATTCACTTTAGCGATGCTCAATTATGCATATTTGGGGGTTGTTCTTGACACAATGTAACAGTACTTGTTGAGTTGTTGTCAAATGTGAAGGTGATTATGTTTTATGTTGTTGGTCAATGATTGATGAAACTATTTTCTGAATGCCATTTGTTGCTGCATCAATTATTTTATCAGAGCAAAGGTCAATTGTGTCATACATTTGACTCTTTCAACTAGGACATTTCAAGCAGGCCAACTTTTTAACGATTAGTCAACTAATTATGTAGCATATTCCTTCTTGCTTCTTCAGGAAACTGCATATTGGTCAATGAATATGAACTACAACAGATCTGATTTCTCTGATGTCAGAACTACTTTTATTATGGCTACGATGTTAACAATCCTTTGCCAAGAACCGAAATTAATCGCAGGACTTGGGAGTATTCTCCTTCTATGCACATTGAAGAATCAACCATGGTCATGCAATCCCAAGAAAATGTAGTTACAACTTCAGATGCTGCTGAAGAATGTGAGTTTGCCAATGTTTTGCTTGTTTTTCTGATTACATTAAGTCATTAGTCAATTCGAGATTTTCTGCCTTTGTTTTCTTTTCAATTTGAATACTTTTTGGGGATATTTATTCCCAAAACTTTCAGATGCTATTATGCCATATTGACCTACAATAACTGCCATATTTTTCAAATCAATTTGACCTATCCTTATTTTGTCAGGAATTGATTTGTCTGCTACTTTTGGTCTAATTTGACACAAATTTTCTCCATGCCTATAGGTCCTGATGACGATCAAGATGATGATAGTCCTGAGGTATGACCGTATGAGTCTGCATCATACCTATTTTAGTAATGCAAGCAAGATTTCATTGTCTGCTTGTTAGCTGAAATATGGTCAATTTATGTGTATAATTTATTGAAACATAATTAGTACTTAGGATTTGCAGATAATACTTGTGATTTGTACTTGCTTAATCGTCCTTTTGACTCTAGGACCATTATCCTGTGAGGTGGAATCTTTGTGTGGTTGATTGCTTTATTTCATTGTTGGTTAGGCGACAACGGAGCCTTACTACTATCTATTTTGTTACAGGTTGCTTGGCAAGATGTCGTTGATCCCTGATAGCATGACTTACGAGGTTTGTTCCCATTTTACATGGTTTATTATGTTCTATAATTGAATTTCATGATTACTGCTTAATATCAATGTAAAGTAGTGGATTTTGCCAACTGCGATGGTGTCTCATGCAGCTTGGCTTGTGGTGTAGGGTATTTATGATGCCCATATAGTCGATACAGTTCTAAATTGGAACATTGAAGCAGAGAGCTTCCCAATGGGTGCGTAGCTTGTGAAAGATGATATGTTTGATGTTGGATATTCTAATTTTATAGAACTGCTTCGTTTTTAAATTGGACAAATTCACTGGTTAACTAGAACTTGCTTTTCTATGTAGTATGTACAAAGCAAGTGGCTGATTTTGTGCTGTTTGCTGTTTTGCTCCATGAATGTAATTTCTTACTCCCTCCGTCCCCAAAAGTTTGACCCTTATGGCCAAAATTTAGTCCCAAAATGATCATCCCATTTGCATTAAAATACCCTCCAATTTGCAACAAATTTGTGTAAAATTAGCTTCCCCATGTAAATTTTGCTTTTTTCATGTACTTTTATTACTTTCTCCACTTTTTTGCAAATCTCATGTAAATTTACTTTTCCAATGTACTTTTACTACTTCTTACTTAACTTTCTTAACACCCGTGAAAATTGCCCATAAGGGTCGAACTTTCGGGGACGGAGGGAGTACTATTCATTGTCCAACTCTTTTTGTGGACAACTATTAAATTCTGCTCTACTTCATCTTTGAAAGTAATATACTGCTGAAGTCGTCCTTTAAAGCTGCCATTTGAAGAACCCAGGGAAAATATTATGCGCCATGGTTTAATACTTTAATATGCATCGCTGCACTACCTCTCCTTGCTCTTGTTAGTTATAGTTTTTAGCCACACACTTTTTCTGAAAGAACAGATTCGATCTTTGCTTATCAAGAAAGATCATTGTGCGCAGAATAGCATTGATAAGCTGAAGGACCCTGATCCCTCATGCTGCTTGCCTGCTTATCTTTTGTGTATGATTTAAGTTTATGCATAAAAGGTGCATCAGTGCATGTGAACTTGTGTGCTAAAAAAATGTTCTTTTATTACAATTGAATGGCATGCTGTTCTATATATTCGAGTTTAGTTGGTGAGAATGGATCTCTTGTTGCAGGAATTACTTGAATTAGGTGAGGCAGTAGGAAGTCAAAGTCGAGGTCTTTCTCAAGAACTTATCAAGTTGCTTCCAACCTCTAGATATAAGGCGGGTGGTTTTTTCTCAAGGAAAAAATCCAGAGAGAGGTAATATTTTCAGACAAGTGCTATTTACTGCCAAGAGTCGACAAGCTCCGTTTCATCTGTCATGTCTTGTGATGTTATTTTGCACTGCCTAATGTAATATAGTGGAAAAATAACACCTTAATTTTGTTCAATGTCTTCTGCTGAAAGTGAAGAAAGACTTATAAAGAAACATTTTGATGTCATGATTATGTATCACCATCAGTGTCTCTGAAATGGTGCTCCTTGAATAGTTGAATGTGCAGCTTCATTGCTTCTTTGAGTTGTAGTGTAGAACTGTAGACAGACACCAGCTTTTATATCCCGGTGTACATGAAATTCCTTTCTAAATTTGCCAGCTCTTCTTGGTGTTTACAGATTGATGAGATTAATTGATGTAGTTGGGCATGGTTAGTCATTAAATGGGGTCACTACGCATGCCATCTACAAGTTCGTAACGCGCAATTAAGACGTAGGGCCTTTGCTTCATAAGTCAAAGTTTTGGCATGCACTTTACCTATGTGCTTCTCAAGGGGAATTACCTTTGTGTTGCTGCTGCTTGATAAAAATTATTTAAGGACTGAGGCATTTACTTATTGAAGTTGCCCCAAAAAGAAAGTGTGATAATTAAATGAGCATTGAAGAAGTTGGAAGTGTAATTATATCATGCAGGCTTTCTGAGTTATCTCATTTGTGGCATATAAGAATTCATTTGCAAACTTCTTTGCTGTCTCATATATGCTTCAATGCAAGAATACTTTGTGGTTTTTATCATAATTTAACTAAAAATTTTGGGCAGATGCGTAATATGCCTGGTGACGTACAAAATCGGGGACCAACAAATGACATTGCCATGCAAGCATGTATACCACTCCAAATGTGGGAGGAAGTGGCTCAGCATAAATAAGGTAAACTGGCTAAATAAAACTAAACAGGTGCATATTTTGTGTATATATTTCCTTTTGGCGCTTCTTTCTGATATCATGACCTGTTTTGTTGTTTTCAGACATGTCCGGTTTGCAATAGTGAAGTGTTCGGGGATGAAGTAAGGAATTGAAAACATTATTGGGCAAGCGTACAGATACAAGCTTAGTTTTTGTGTTGTCTTCATTTTTGTTCCTGGTTCCTGGTTTTTAGGTACAGAGAGCTGATTTTGAATTTACGGCTATATAGTCACCTCCTCCTCCTCTTCTTCTAACTGATATGACCAGTTATGTCTCGTGGTACTCAGAATCTAATATAGATAGAAAAAGGTTCTAAATGTTGCCTACTGCTCGTACTATTCCCTTCTTCCCTTTGCCAATGTTGTTTTTACCTCATTGCATCAGACATTAGTGCCAAGTGGGCTGGGCTCTGTGCACTATAGATAGGGTAAGGTACTCAAATGTAACGTATGTTCTAATTATATCTTTGACCGGATCCAATTATATAATTGACAATATTACTACTAAACAATTAAGGAGTATAGGGTAATTCAACTTTTAGACAATGTTGTAGTCATATATTCATTTTGCGGGAGTGACTATAGTATGGCAATCTAGCTACAGATTATCGATTAGCTTCTCATGATCCTTCGAGACTCTGGGGCTGTTACTGTGTTGTTTGTCATTTTGAGGGAGCAATTGTACACATTGAAATACTCCATGAAAGCTGGTAGAATCTTAAAATGCTGATTTATATTATTTTTTTTTGGTGCAAAGATGCTGATTTATATTGGTACGTTTGCTAGTAGTACACTAGTACTAGTAATGTCATTGTTCTCATGCTCGGTAAGTTAATATAACCAATTATAACAAAATTTAGTTATTTTTTTTATTTCCAAATAAGTTATGACAAAATTTTGTTATTTATGAGAAATAATAATTTAGTAAAAATATGATTTGTATCTCTTGTTGGTTATGGGTCAAACAGAGTTAGTGTAACCCAACATGACACAACCATTGCAAAATGAGTTATTTACAATTCGCTCCGTAGGTCAAACTTGAGAATAGAGGGGGGAGGTAAAGGAATTTCCTTACTTTTAAGCAAATTTAATTGGCGGGGCTTGAAAAAAGAACATAAATAAATGAAATCACCTCTTAGCAGCTCTGACAGCCAACCTTCCAACTCCCCACAAAATATAGTTGGTGGGGAGGTAAAGGAATTTACCACCAACTCCACCAAGCTTTGATTGGTCATATGTTATTATATTGATTATATATTTTGTGCATTAGTACAATCAAAGCTTAAGTATTTTATGTATAATTAGCACAAGTTATTTGTAAAAAAAAGTCTTGTTGATACTCCGTACATTGTAAAATACAACCGGTTTTACGGTGAAAATAATCGTCCGAATGTGAATAATGTGGGCAACCCATCGTTTGTTAGCGCAATGGGATGTGGGCTACAAAATGTTAGGTATGGGTAGGCCCAAGTAGCATAGATTTGGAAAAATAAAAGAGAAAAGCCAGGTAGGAGTTACAACGGTCGAAAAGTAAATGAGAAACGCAGAAATCAGGATATTGTCTCCTTTCATCACATTCTCTTCTCTTTAACGTTGCTTCCCTCCCTTTTTTCTCCAACGTTACAACTATCACCAACCCCCCCTTTTTCTCTCTCTCCTCCCATTTTCAGTTGTCCTGTCTTTCCTCTCTCTCACTCACATTCACTCCAGTAGCTTCCTAGCTACATACATTCATACTTACATTCGAGATAGAAAATGGAGGCTGCTAAGATCGACTGGAGAACATTGAATCTGTGTTCGTCATTGATCAAGTTTTCGAGAACATCAATGCTCCTAAATGGGTTGATTTCTTGGCTTCTCCTTCTTCTTCTTCTTCCTCATCCAATGATGTTGCTTGGTTTTGCCGCCCTGGTATGTTAATCTCTTCTTTTCTTTTCTTCCCATCTTTAGAGTAACTAATTACTTAATCTTTAATTTATTTCCTTAATTGTGATTACCATTGTTTAAATCCCCAGATTGTAAAGCATCCTGCAACTGCTGAAGATTTCCTCAAATCAACCCCTTCTTCTTCTTCTTCTTCTTCTTCTTCTTCTTCTTCTTCTTCTTCTTCTTCTTCTTCTTTCTTCTTCTTCTTCTTCTTCTTCTTCTTTCTTCTTCTTCTTCTTCTTCTTCTTCTTCTTCTTCTTAAGGTACCTTGTTCCTTTCTAATCTTGATCATAAAATGGGGTTTTATTCCTCTTATTGGAATTGAGATTGTGATTTTATGTTTGCAGTTGTTGAGATCTGTTAGTGTATCGAAGCTCATTGGACTTGCCGATTGGACTCGAAAAGAACCCACTCTTTTCAAGAGGCGTACTCCACCTATTCAAGATTCTTGAAAATCAAAACCCTAATTTCTCAACTCCTCAATCTTATCACCATTATTATACTGATGAAAAACCCAGATTAAAACCCACTAATTCTGCTAAAGACTTGTTTGGTGGGAGGGACCTTTTTGGTAAAATCAGCGATTTCTGTAATGAGTTAAAGAAGATTACCAGAGTTAGGGACAAAGAGGATGAGAGCCCTGAGAAAGAGGAGGATCAATTGTCACTGCACCAAGGACAAGGGCATCTCAAAACTCAATCCCAACCACTCTTACAAACCATTAGGCTCGGTCCCCGTTGCCGCCCTCCGCTCCGGCCTCAAAGACAAGAGAAACAGGATGATTGACAGTGATAATAAGAAAGGAAGCCTTTGCTTCAGGTTAAATCTGAAGGTGCACTCAAAACCAATGCCAAACCCAAGCTCAGGAGAAACATGTATGCTTGCTTCTTCCTTATGTTCTGTGATTTTTGATGATGTTCATATAATTCGAGTAGTGTAGTGTTATACCCAAGAGGCTGATGCTTCAATTGTGAATGTTTCAGGAGAGATGATGAAGCAGAGAATATCCCTATTTCTCTGAATTTGAACAATGTTAAGCGTGAGGCTAAGGTATCGCCCATACGAACGAATCCTCCTACACCTCAGGGTTCTCAGCCACTCGTGATCCTATCAAGGCCACACCTTCAAAGGGAACAAAGTCTAAGCTCATGGTATGGATCAAAGTTCTTTTAATGATGCCAATTCTTTGAATATGATCATTTGCTTCACCTTACAGATTGTATTCTCAATGCTGGTATATTCTTTCTTGTCAAGTTGTGGATTAATTCCAATGTTGTTACTTGAATTTGCACATTACTAAATAAATCAAACTATACTAGGCCAATTTTCGGCAGTAAATTGATGAGAATCAGTGTATTGGACCTTCAATCTCAACATATTATCATGCTAATTCTTAATCTATGCTACTGTTGCCTGTTCTTTTGGTGGTGCCAAACCAAGTTTTGTTTGGCTGAATCCTCACAATATTTTGAACCTCTTGATCAGTGTTTCTCTGTTCTTCTCCCTTGCCAAGCAGCATAAAATCTGCAAAGTGGGTTTATCGAAATCTACTTATTAACACTGATTGTTTTATTCTACTAGGAAAGAGAGATTTTACAAGAATTGGGACAGAAGAAGACGCTGAGGGATGAGCTTGACGAGAAACATTGAGAAGAGTGAAAATGAGAATGCATCTCTTGTTGCTGCAAAAGAAGGAAGAACATTGGATGTTTTCTGGTTCTTAAAGCCTTGCACACTGTCTAGCTAATGAACACAGTTTTTAAGCATAGTCATTCTTTTAATTTTTTCATATATATATCATTAGTTTATTTGGGGGTGAAAGAAGAACAGAATCCCAATAATCCATTCAATTTGTCAAATAGCGTACATCTGTAGGTTTTGTGTTTATGTAGCTTTCTATTTTTACATTATTCATTTGTCTATGATTTTCTAATAAAGGTATACTATTCAAGCATTGTATGCGACATATTTGGTGAGTAACTGAGTAATATATTTGGTTTATTCATTTTTAACAGAACACATGTATGCGATATGATTGCTCGAGTTGTTAATTGTGTTATTTCCTCATTGCTTTGTTAGCCTTTTGAAGATCATTGATACGGTGATCTTGGACTCACTGTCAGAAATTCTAAAGCTATGACTATAACAAACTCCGTTGGTATTAAATTATATATAGATGGTTTAACTTTCCATTCAACTTTTCCTGTGTATCTAAGCCTCTTTAACCTGACCTCCCCTCTAAACACCACTATATTACAACAAAAAGTCTTGGAAAATCTGGTAATTTGGAGCTTAAACTTCAGATGTCACTTCAGAAAAAACAAGGCCGAGTCCACATGAAGCCACGTGAACTAAATGAACCCCAAAGTCCAAACAGATAAGACTAGACTTTTCCTTAATCATCCAAAGTTGTAATACTACGTATTTGTAAAGTTCGTTTGGTGTGTACGAAGTAATAGTAAGGGATATCATTATATTCATGGACCATGGTATTATGGTAATGAAATAATTCATATAAAGAGAAATTCTCTACATATATTAATTTAAGTCACGAATGACTCTAATAACACGCGTTGATATTAAATTATATTTTAGATGGTATTATCGTGATACCAACATATTAATGTAATAATACCAACGAATGCAATTAGAGTTATTCAAGACTCAAATTATTAGAGGCGGAGAAATCCTCATTTTGTCCTAGTTACCAATTTGCCATAGACACAAATTCAAAATCATAGCTGAACATTTGCAAGGGAAAAAAAAAATAGATTGAATTATAAAGGAAAGGGAAAGCAGATAAAACGGAAAACACAGATTCAGGGGGCATAAAGCAGGAAAAGAAAACAAACAAAAGAGCAGAAAATTACAACAGCTAAAACAAGCATGAAGATTGATGATTTTCACAAATTTCAACCGATATACATGTTTTGAAATTGTGTGTGAACACAAACTAAATCAATAACAAATTACTTGTATTGATCTAAGCACTGCAAACAAACAGGATGCACAATTATTGTTTTATAATTACAAAGTAAACTATCTAACAAATCAGAAGCAGTAAGAATAATCAAACTGCAAATCACCCCACTAATCACAAATCCCACCTATACACTCTGCTTCCTACTACACAACTAACCCAGAAACATCTAGATTTTCATTATTAGCAAGGTCGGTTACAAAACCAACATCAAAAAAAAAAAAAAAAAAAAAAATATTCGGGTATGTACAGAAAATACTCTGATTTCAGGATTGTGGTTCAACCATCCAATTAACGAATTGCAGCTTCATCCAATCATCCAGAAAATTCAAAACTTTACCACCCAATAAAAATTAAAAAAAAAGGAAGAGGAGACGTTGTAAATTGGATCTAATTGGGGGAGGAGGAAGCA